GGTTGTTGCAAACTCATTAACCCATTTGAAAACATCTTCGATTAAATTTCCGCATACATATGAAACAATAATAATAATTCACTTGAAACTTAATAAAAAATAGTGCCATGCACTGTAAGTCACCTGGATATGTAGTCAACAATATCAGAAACTGAAGTGAAACTAGGTATTTTACTGTCACTGCGTGATTGGGTCAGTGGGCTAGCTTAGAGATTAAAGCATTCGCGCGTCACCCTGAAGGCCCGGGTTCGATTACCCATATTGGTACAATGTGTGATGACCATTTCTGGTAAATTTCATACCAATTAATAAAACACATGTTGTATAAAGCTATTAGTATTTGTCAAGAGGACGTGTAACTACACTTTCCAAAAAAATAAACGAACAGGTAGTATGTAGTTTATTGAACCTGGCTACACAAGAAATCCGGTTTATGAATTGGATATATGTTATTGTCCTGATATTCGACAAATGACAGCCTTTGTAGATTTGCAATGTCTTAAACGGCTTTGTTTTCACACATGTTGAATACTGTCATTGAAGAATAAACTAAAGCAAAATGCACGTGCAAGTTATGGTATTTGTAACTCGTGGTAGTGGCTATAAAAGGCAAGCATAAGCCAATGATTTGTCATTCAATTGTCAACATTTTTCAAGTTTAAAAATGCCGAGACCAGGCGCTGTCAATCGGAACATCGCAGTCTTCTGTTTCACGCCACATCAACGTCCACCATAGCACAATTTGCCGCCTATGTGACCGATACACACAGTTCATTTCCACTGTAGACCGTCCCAAAACCGGCCGAGGCAGAGGCAGATGAAAACAGATAGAAAATTTGCCCCGGCATAATGCACATTATGTCAATCACTGGATGATGTGGTTCTGTCTGAGGGGGAAGTTGTCTCTAAACAACATAAAATACATCTTGTGGCGTAACAACAGAAGAAATGCAATTCCTATTGCACGATGTGTGGAAATTATGTGTCTAGACCGTGTGTCTCTCTAATTGTCGCTGAGGATCAAACTCATACCAACACATTATTCTGATTTTCAAGAAAGTATAGGATGATACCTCAAAACTTTTCAAAAATATTGCTTGTATCCATGTGTTCAATATAAAGTCTTTCATCTTGTTTCTCCTCAGGACCAACATCAGCTAAAGCCATTTCACATCCGATCAACATGCCAACATCAAGATTACCAACCCAAGTCGTTGATACTTCTCAGTCAAAAGATGGTAAAACATTTGCTTTTTTTAAGCGACTTAACAGGTTGTTGCAAACTCATTAACCCATTTGCAAACATCTTCGATTAAATTTCCGCATACATATGAAACAATAATAATAATTCACTTGAAACTTAATAAAAAATAGTGCCATGCACTGTAAGTCACCTGGATATGTAGTCAACAATATCAGAAACTGAAGTGAAACTAGGTATTTTACTGTCACTGCGTGATTGGGTCAGTGGGCTAGCTTAGAGATTAAAGCATTCGCGCGTCACCCTGAAGGCCCGGGTTCGATTACCCATATTGGTACAATGTGTGATGACCATTTCTGGTAAATTTCATACCAATTAATAAAACACATGTTGTATAAAGCTATTAGTATTTGTCAAGAGGACGTGTAACTACACTTTCCAAAAAAATAAACGAACAGGTAGTATGTAGTTTATTGAACCCGGCTACACAAGAAATCCGGTTTATAAATTGGATATATGTTATTGTCCTGATATTCGACAAATGACAGCCTTTGTAGATTTGCAATGTCTTAAACGGCTTTGTTTTCACACATGTTGAATACTGTCATTGAAGAATAAACTAAAGCAAAATGCACGTGCAAGTTATGGTATTTGTAACTCGTGGTAGTGGCTATAAAAGGCAAGCATAAGCCAATGATTTGTCATTCAATTGTCAACATTTTTCAAGTTTAAAAATGCCGAGACCAGGCGCTGTCAATCGGAACATCGCAGTCTTCTGTTTCACGCCACATCAACGTCCACCATAGCACAATTTGCCGCCTATGTGACCGATACACACAGTTCATTTCCACTGTAGACCGTCCCAAAACCGGCCGAGGCAGAGGCAGATGAAAACAGATAGAAAATTTGCCCCGGCATAATGCACATTATGTCAATCACTGGATGATGTGGTTCTGTCTGAGGGGGAAGTTGTCTCTAAACAACATAAAATACATCTTGTGGCGTAACAACAGAAGAAATGCAATTCCTATTGCACGATGTGTGGAAATTATGTGTCTAGACCGTGTGTCTCTCTAATTGTCGCTGAGGATCAAACTCATACCAACACATTATTCTGATTTTCAAGAAAGTATAGGATGATACCTCAAAACTTTTCAAATACATTTTGCTTGTATCCATGTGTTCAATATAAAGTCTTTCATCTTGTTTCTCCTCAGGACCAACATCAGCTAAAGCCATTTCATATCCGATCAACATGCCAACATCAAGATTACCAACCCAAGTCGTGGATACTTCTCAGTCAAAAGATGGTAAAACATTTGCTTTTTTTAAGCGACTTAACAGGTTGTTGCAAACTCATTAACCCATTTGCAAACATCTTCGATTAAATTTCCGCATACATATGAAACAATAATAATAATTCACTTGAAACTTAATAAAAAATAGTGCCATGCACTGTAAGTCACCTGGATATGTAGTCAACAATATCAGAAACTGAAGTGAAACTAGGTATTTTACTGTCACTGCGTGATTGGGTCAGTGGGCTAGCTTAGAGATTAAAGCATTCGCGCGTCACCCTGAAGGCCCGGGTTCGATTACCCATATTGGTACAATGTGTGATGACCATTTCTGGTAAATTTCATACCAATTAATAAAACACATGTTGTATAAAGCTATTAGTATTTGTCAAGAGGACGTGTAACTACACTTTCCAAAAAAATAAACGAACAGGTAGTATGTAGTTTATTGAACCTGGCTACACAAGAAATCCGGTTTATAAATTGGATATATGTTATTGTCCTGATATTCGACAAATGACAGCCTTTGTAGATTTGCAATGTCTTAAACGGCTTTGTTTTCACACATGTTGAATACTGTCATTGAAGAATAAACTAAAGCAAAATGCACGTGCAAGTTATGGTATTTGTAACTCGTGGTAGTGGCTATAAAAGGCAAGCATAAGCCAATGATTTGTCATTCAATTGTCAACATTTTTCAAGTTTAAAAATGCCGAGACCAGGCGCTGTCAATCGGAACATCGCAGTCTTCTGTTTCACGCCACATCAACGTCCACCATAGCACAATTTGCCGCCTATGTGACCGATACACACAGTTCATTTCCACTGTAGACCGTCCCAAAACCGGCCGAGCCAGAGGCAGATGAAAACAGATAGAAAATTTGCCCCGGCATAATGCACATTATGTCAATCACTGGATGATGTGGTTCTGTCTGAGGGGGAAGTTGTCTCTAAACAACATAAAATACATCTTGTGGCGTAACAACAGAAGAAATGCAATTCCTATTGCACGATGTGTGGAAATTATGTGTCTAGACCGTGTGTCTCTCTAATTGTCGCTGAGGATCAAACTCATACCAACACATTATTCTGATTTTCAAGAAAGTATAGGATGATACCTCATAACTTTTCAAATACATTTTGCTTGTATCCATGTGTTCAATATAAAGTCTTTCATCTTGTTTCTCCTCAGGACCAACATCAGCTGAAGCCATTTCACATCCGATCAACATGCCAACATCAAGATTACCAACCCAAGTCGTGGATACTTCTCAGTCAAAAGATGGTAAAACATTTGCTTTTTTTAAGCGACTTAACAGGTTGTTGCAAACTCATTAACCCATTTGAAAACATCTTCGATTAAATTTCCGCATACATATGAAACAATAATAATAATTCACTTGAAACTTAATAAAAAATAGTGCCATGCACTGTAAGTCACCTGGATATGTAGTCAACAATATCAGAAACTGAAGTGAAACTAGGTATTTTACTGTCACTGCGTGATTGGGTCAGTGGGCTAGCTTAGAGATTAAAGCATTCGCGCGTCACCCTGAAGGCCCGGGTTCGATTACCCATATTGGTACAATGTGTGATGACCATTTCTGGTAAATTTCATACCAATTAATAAAACACATGTTGTATAAAGCTATTAGTATTTGTCAAGAGGACGTGTAACTACACTTTCCAAAAAAATAAACGAACAGGTAGTATGTAGTTTATTGAACCTGGCTACACAAGAAATCCGGTTTATGAATTGGATATATGTTATTGTCCTGATATTCGACAAATGACAGCCTTTGTAGATTTGCAATGTCTTAAACGGCTTTGTTTTCACACATGTTGAATACTGTCATTGAAGAATAAACTAAAGCAAAATGCACGTGCAAGTTATGGTATTTGTAACTCGTGGTAGTGGCTATAAAAGGCAAGCATAAGCCAATGATTTGTCATTCAATTGTCAACATTTTTCAAGTTTAAAAATGCCGAGACCAGGCGCTGTCAATCGGAACATCGCAGTCTTCTGTTTCACGCCACATCAACGTCCACCATAGCACAATTTGCCGCCTATGTGACCGATACACACAGTTCATTTCCACTGTAGACCGTCCCAAAACCGGCCGAGGCAGAGGCAGATGAAAACAGATAGAAAATTTGCCCCGGCATAATGCACATTATGTCAATCACTGGATGATGTGGTTCTGTCTGAGGGGGAAGTTGTCTCTAAACAACATAAAATACATCTTGTGGCGTAACAACAGAAGAAATGCAATTCCTATTGCACGATGTGTGGAAATTATGTGTCTAGACCGTGTGTCTCTCTAATTGTCGCTGAGGATCAAACTCATACCAACACATTATTCTGATTTTCAAGACAGTATAGGATGATACCTCAAAACTTTTCAAATACATTTTGCTTGTATCCATGTGTTCAATATAAAGTCTTTCATCTTGTTTCTCCTCAGGACCAACATCAGCTAAAGCCATTTCACATCCGATCAACATGCCAACATCAAGATTACCAACCCAAGTCGTGGATACTTCTCAGTCAAAAGATGGTAAAACATTTGCTTTTTTTAAGCGACTTAACAGGTTGTTGCAAACTCATTAACCCATTTGCAAACATCTTCGATTACATTTCCGCATACATATGAAACAATAATAATAATTCACTTGAAACTTAATAAAAAATAGTGCCATGCACTGTAAGTCACCTGGATATGTAGTCAACAATATCAGAAACTGAAGTGAAACTAGGTATTTTACTGTCACTGCGTGATTGGGTCAGTGGGCTAGCTTAGAGATTAAAGCATTCGCGCGTCACCCCGAAGGCCCAGGTTCGATTACCCATATTGGTACAATGTGTGATGACCATTTCTGGTAAATTTCATACCAATTAATAAAACACATGTTGTATAAAGCTATTAGTATTTGTCAAGAGGACGTGTAACTACACTTTCCAAAAAAATAAACGAACAGGTAGTATGTAGTTTATTGAACCTGGCTACACAAGAAATCCGGTTTATAAATTGGATATATGTTATTGTCCTGATATTCGACAAATGACAGCCTTTGTAGATTTGCAATGTCTTAAACGGCTTTGTTTTCACACATGTTGAATACTGTCATTGAAGAATAAACTAAAGCAAAATGCACGTGCAAGTTATGGTATTTGTAACTCGTGGTAGTGGCTATAAAAGGCAAGCATAAGCCAATGATTTGTCATTCAATTGTCAACATTTTTCAAGTTTAAAAATGCCGAGACCAGGCGCTGTCAATCGGAACATCGCAGTCTTCTGTTTCACGCCACATCAACGTCCACCATAGCACAATTTGCCGCCTATGTGACCGATACACACAGTTCATTTCCACTGTAGACCGTCCTAAAACCGGCCGAGGCAGAGGCAGATGAAAACAGATAGAAAATTTGCCCCGGCATAATGCACATTATGTCAATCACTGGATGATGTGGTTCTGTCTGAGGGGGAAGTTGTCTCTAAACAACATAAAATACATCTTGTGGCGTAACAACAGAAGAAATGCAATTCCTATTGCACGATGTGTGGAAATTATGTGTCTAGACCGTGTGTCTCTCTAATTGTCGCTGAGGATCAAACTCATACCAACACATTATTCTGATTTTCAAGAAAGTATAGGATGATACCTCATAACTTTTCAAATACATTTTGCTTGTATCCATGTGTTCAATATAAAGTCTTTCATCTTGTTTCTCCTCAGGACCAACATCAGCTGAAGCCATTTCACATCCGATCAACATGCCAACATCAAGATTACCAACCCAAGTCGTGGATACTTCTCAGTCAAAAGATGGTAAAACATTTGCTTTTTTTAAGCGACTTAACAGGTTGTTGCAAACTCATTAACCCATTTGAAAACATCTTCGATTAAATTTCCGCATACATATGAAACAATAATAATAATTCACTTGAAACTTAATAAAAAATAGTGCCATGCACTGTAAGTCACCTGGATATGTAGTCAACAATATCAGAAACTGAAGTGAAACTAGGTATTTTACTGTCACTGCGTGATTGGGTCAGTGGGCTAGCTTAGAGATTAAAGCATTCGCGCGTCACCCTGAAGGCCCGGGTTCGATTACCCATATTGGTACAATGTGTGATGACCATTTCTGGTAAATTTCATACCAATTAATAAAACACATGTTGTATAAAGCTATTAGTATTTGTCAAGAGGACGTGTAACTACACTTTCCAAAAAAATAAACGAACAGGTAGTATGTAGTTTATTGAACCTGGCTACACAAGAAATCCGGTTTATGAATTGGATATATGTTATTGTCCTGATATTCGACAAATGACAGCCTTTGTAGATTTGCAATGTCTTAAACGGCTTTGTTTTCACACATGTTGAATACTGTCATTGAAGAATAAACTAAAGCAAAATGCACGTGCAAGTTATGGTATTTGTAACTCGTGGTAGTGGCTATAAAAGGCAAGCATAAGCCAATGATTTGTCATTCAATTGTCAACATTTTTCAAGTTTAAAAATGCCGAGACCAGGCGCTGTCAATCGGAACATCGCAGTCTTCTGTTTCACGCCACATCAACGTCCACCATAGCACAATTTGCCGCCTATGTGACCGATACACACAGTTCATTTCCACTGTAGACCGTCCCAAAACCGGCCGAGGCAGAGGCAGATGAAAACAGATAGAAAATTTGCCCCGGCATAATGCACATTATGTCAATCACTGGATGATGTGGTTCTGTCTGAGGGGGAAGTTGTCTCTAAACAACATAAAATACATCTTGTGGCGTAACAACAGAAGAAATGCAATTCCTATTGCACGATGTGTGGAAATTATGTGTCTAGACCGTGTGTCTCTCTAATTGTCGCTGAGGATCAAACTCATACCAACACATTATTCTGATTTTCAAGAAAGTATAGGATGATACCTCAAAACTTTTCAAATACATTTTGCTTGTATCCATGTGTTCAATATAAAGTCTTTCATCTTGTTTCTCCTCAGGACCAACATCAGCTAAAGCCATTTCACATCCGATCAACATGCCAACATCAAGATTACCAACCCAAGTCGTGGATACTTCTCAGTCAAAAGATGGTAAAACATTTGCTTTTTTTAAGCGACTTAACAGGTTGTTGCAAACTCATTAACCCATTTGCAAACTTCTTCGATTACATTTCCGCATACATATGAAACAATAATAATAATTCACTTGAAACTTAATAAAAAATAGTGCCATGCACTGTAAGTCACCTGGATATGTAGTCAACAATATCAGAAACTGAAGTGAAACTAGGTATTTTACTGTCACTGCGTGATTGGGTCAGTGGGCTAGCTTAGAGATTAAAGCATTCGCGCGTCACCCCGAAGGCCCAGGTTCGATTACCCATATTGGTACAATGTGTGATGACCATTTCTGGTAAATTTCATACCAATTAATAAAACACATGTTGTATAAAGCTATTAGTATTTGTCAAGAGGACGTGTAACTACACTTTCCAAAAAAATAAACGAACAGGTAGTATGTAGTTTATTGAACCTGGCTACACAAGAAATCCGGTTTATAAATTGGATATATGTTATTGTCCTGATATTCGACAAATGACAGCCTTTGTAGATTTGCAATGTCTTAAACGGCTTTGTTTTCACACATGTTGAATACTGTCATTGAAGAATAAACTAAAGCAAAATGCACGTGCAAGTTATGGTATTTGTAACTCGTGGTAGTGGCTATAAAAGGCAAGCATAAGCCAATGATTTGTCATTCAATTGTCAACATTTTTCAAGTTTAAAAATGCCGAGACCAGGCGCTGTCAATCGGAACATCGCAGTCTTCTGTTTCACGCCACATCAACGTCCACCATAGCACAATTTGCCGCCTATGTGACCGATACACACAGTTCATTTCCACTGTAGACCGTCCTAAAACCGGCCGAGGCAGAGGCAGATGAAAACAGATAGAAAATTTGCCCCGGCATAATGCACATTATGTCAATCACTGGATGATGTGGTTCTGTCTGAGGGGGAAGTTGTCTCTAAACAACATAAAATACATCTTGTGGCGTAACAACAGAAGAAATGCAATTCCTATTGCACGATGTGTGGAAATTATGTGTCTAGACCGTGTGTCTCTCTAATTGTCGCTGAGGATCAAACTCATACCAACACATTATTCTGATTTTCAAGAAAGTATAGGATGATACCTCATAACTTTTCAAATACATTTTGCTTGTATCCATGTGTTCAATATAAAGTCTTTCATCTTGTTTCTCCTCAGGACCAACATCAGCTAAAGCCATTTCACATCCGATCAACATGCCAACATCAAGATTACCAACCCAAGTCGTGGATACTTCTCAGTCAAAAGATGGTAAAACATTTGCTTTTTTTAAGCGACTTAACAGGTTGTTGCAAACTCATTAACCCATTTGCAAACATCTTCGATTAAATTTCCGCATACATATGAAACAATAATAATAATTCACTTGAAACTTAATAAAAAATAGTGCCATGCACTGTAAGTCACCTGGATATGTAGTCAACAATATCAGAAACTGAAGTGAAACTAGGTATTTTACTGTCACTGCGTGATTGGGTCAGTGGGCTAGCTTAGAGATTAAAGCATTCGCGCGTCACCCCGAAGGCCCAGGTTCGATTACCCATATTGGTACAATGTGTGATGACCATTTCTGGTAAATTTCATACTGATTAATAAAACACATGTTGTATAAAGCTATTAGTATTTGTCAAGAGGACGTGTAACTACACTTTCCAAAAAAATAAACGAACAGGTAGTATGTAGTTTATTGAACCTGGCTACACAAGAAATCCGGTTTATAAATTGGATATATGTTATTGTCCTGATATTCGACAAATGACAGCCTTTGTAGATTTGCAATGTCTTAAACGGCTTTGTTTTCACACATGTTGAATACTGTCATTGAAGAATAAACTAAAGCAAAATGCACGTGCAAGTTATGGTATTCGTAACTCGTGGTAGTGGCTATAAAAGGCAAGCATAAGCCAATGATTTGTCATTCGATTGTCAACATTTTTCAAGTTTAAAAATGCCGAGACCAGGCGCTGTCAATCGGAACATCGCAGTCTTCTGTTTCACGCCACATCAACGTCCACCATAGCATAATTTGCCGCCTATGTGACCGATACACACAGTTCATTTCCACTGTAGACCATCCCCAAACCGGCCGAGGCAGAGGCAGATGAAAACAGATAGAAAATTTGCCCCGGCATAATGCACATTATGTCAATCACTGGATGATGTGGTTCTGTCTGAGGGGGAAGTTGTCTCTAAACAACATAAAATACATCTTGTGGCGTAACAACAGAAGAAATGCAATTCCTATTGCACGATGTGTGGAAATTATGTGTCTAGACCGTGTGTCTCTCTAATTGTCGCTGAGGATCAAACTCATACCAACACATTATTCTGATTTTCAAGAAAGTATAGGATGATACCTCATAACTTTTCAAATACATTTTGCTTGTATCCATGTGTTCAATATAAAGTCTTTCATCTTGTTTCTCCTCAGGACCAACATCAGCTAAAGCCATTTCACATCCGATCAACATGCCAACATCAAGATTACCAACCCAAGTCGTGGATACTTCTCAGTCAAAAGATGGTAAAACATTTGCTTTTTTTAAGCGACTTAACAGGTTGTTGCAAACTCATTAACCCATTTGCAAACATCTTCGATTAAATTTCCGCATACATATGAAACAATAATAATAATTCACTTGAAACTTAATAAAAAATAGTGCCATGCACTGTAAGTCACCTGGATATGTAGTCAACAATATCAGAAACTGAAGTGAAACTAGGTATTTTACTGTCACTGCGTGATTGGGTCAGTGGGCTAGCTTAGAGATTAAAGCATTCGCGCGTCACCCCGAAGGCCCAGGTTCGATTACCCATATTGGTACAATGTGTGATGACCATTTCTGGTAAATTTCATACTGATTAATAAAACACATGTTGTATAAAGCTATTAGTATTTGTCAAGAGGACGTGTAACTACACTTTCCAAAAAAATAAACGAACAGGTAGTATGTAGTTTATTGAACCTGGCTACACAAGAAATCCGGTTTATAAATTGGATATATGTTATTGTCCTGATATTCGACAAATGACAGCCTTTGTAGATTTGCAATGTCTTAAACGGCTTTGTTTTCACACATGTTGAATACTGTCATTGAAGAATAAACTAAAGCAAAATGCACGTGCAAGTTATGGTATTCGTAACTCGTGGTAGTGGCTATAAAAGGCAAGCATAAGCCAATGATTTGTCATTCGATTGTCAACATTTTTCAAGTTTAAAAATGCCGAGACCAGGCGCTGTCAATCGGAACATCGCAGTCTTCTGTTTCACGCCACATCAACGTCCACCATAGCATAATTTGCCGCCTATGTGACCGATACACACAGTTCATTTCCACTGTAGACCATCCCCAAACCGGCCGAGGCAGAGGCAGATGAAAACAGATAGAAAATTTGCCCCGGCATAATGCACATTATGTCAATCACTGGATGATGTGGTTCTGTCTGAGGGGGAAGTTGTCTCTAAACAACATAAAATACATCTTGTGGCGTAACAACAGAAGAAATGCAATTCCTATTGCACGATGTGTGGAAATTATGTGTCTAGACCGTGTGTCTCTCTAATTGTCGCTGAGGATCAAACTCATACCAACACATTATTCTGATTTTCAAGAAAGTATAGGATGATACCTCAAAACTTTTCAAATACATTTTGCTTGTATCCATGTGTTCAATATAAAGTCTTTCATCTTGTTTCTCCTCAGGACCAACATCAGCTAAAGCCATTTCACATCCGATCAACATGCCAACATCAAGATTACCAACCCAAGTCGTGGATACTTCTCAGTCAAAAGATGGTAAAACATTTGCTTTTTTTAAGCGACTTAACAGGTTGTTGCAAACTCATTAACCCATTTGCAAACATCTTCGATTACATTTCCGCATACATATGAAACAATAATAATAATTCACTTGAAACTTAATAAAAAATAGTGCCATGCACTGTAAGTCACCTGGATATGTAGTCAACAATATCAGAAACTGAAGTGAAACTAGGTATTTTACTGTCACTGCGTGATTGGGTCAGTGGGCTAGCTTAGAGATTAAAGCATTCGCGCGTCACCCCGAAGGCCCAGGTTCGATTACCCATATTGGTACAATGTGTGATGACCATTTCTGGTAAATTTCATACTGATTAATAAAACACATGTTGTATAAAGCTATTAGTATTTGTCAAGAGGACGTGTAACTACACTTTTCAAAAAAATAAACGAACAGGTAGTATGTAGTTTATTGAACCTGGCTACACAAGAAATCCGGTTTA